AAAATTTAACAAGGGCGCACCACGTAAAACAAACAGATGCCCAAAAAGGTAAACAATATGCAGCTAGCAATGATATTTTTCGCTGAGCGAGTTCCTTGAGAACAGGCCATACGTCAAAAAGAAGCAAAATATTACACTGCTAGGACGTACCCTTGTACTTGTCCCAAGCATCCTCACGAACGTGACCCTCTATGCAAATCGACTGACACAACTCTTCAAATCTTTTTTCGGTGGGCTCTTCTTCGTCAAACATATGCATTACAAAAACCCAGAAATGCGCAGGAGACCAAACAATCAATGGAAGAAATATTTGCGGGGAGCCAGATGTCCAGCCGAAACACCAACGTCCAGTTAAAATCGACCCAACCTTGCACTTGTTTTAATCTATAGGGACAATTCCTCATTACGGGATACGAAGTCCAAAGTAGGAGCGTTGACAAGATTCCGATGACTTCAACACTTAAAGAAGATATATTTGCAGACATAATTGTTTCCTCAGGTTTCTTACTGATTGGATTTATGTTTTGACTCTACCTGATGGCATTTATTCTAAACCGGCTGAAAGTATCACGTTAAGCAATTTGACAAGACGGAAAAGCGTTAAATAAGAGGGGGAAATGGGCATGAATTTGGAAGGGAAGCTGTTTTGAGTCGGATCCAGAGAATGGAATTTTTTCGTCTGCCACTTCGCCGATAATAAATCTGTAAAACTGGCAATAAATAAATAATTAGGGGCGCCTTCTAATAAAGCTCGCATAAACGCAAATGAACGAGGCAGATGGTGCCTTTGCGCGTTTAGTGGACGGAAAATCACCTTACTATCTGGTCTATTTGATGCGTCTGCTCATTTTCCCATGTTCTTAGCTACAGGACAATGCATTTTAAGTGTAATTATTCGCACAAACAGACGTTTTCGTTCTAAATTGATTCCGACAAGATGAACTTGTTTAGCAGTTTATGACTTCGGTTACCTCATTTCGCCCAGTAACACACTTTTGAAATTGTTTTTCTGCAGCATTGGAAAAGCCTTTTCGGCAAGC